TAAAAATAGTCCTAAAATACAGTCAATTGTTGTTATTGAAATCTTCATCTAAAATGGTGCTTTGTAGTCTAGATGTTAATATGAGAGTAGGCTTTAAAAGAAAAATTAAATTACCTAGTAACCATGGTTAATGTCGGTTTAAGAATACATTTTCATTGTGACTTACAGTCTTAAAATGTGTGGTAAAAAATTAGCCACAAGCCAATTAAAAATATGTATGTGGTTTTCTCTAACTGGAAAATACTCAAAGATGCCCTACTTACTACTTACACATAGTTGCCATTTTCTTATTTTCACATTTAAAATCATTCTTAGTATGAGGTTAGCGTCCCTTAAAACAAAGTCTCTGCTCATTTATTTATATTCCACCTTGTTTTAGAAAGACTACGAGGCAACTATGCAAACACTTGAATTTATTTATTTAGGCTTTCCAATAATGCCACAAAAAATTTAATTTGTAGCTCATTTTTTAAAAAGATTTTTATTGTGTTTTTTCCATTACCATTTAGTCCCCTTATACTCCTCTGCCCCCAGCAATCACCTCACTGTTGTCCATGTTCATGAGTCCTTTCTCCTTTTTGCTCAGTCCCTCTACTTCTTATCTCTCCCCCACTTTAGCTGTTACATGTTCTCCATCTATGAGTCTGTCTCCATTTTACTTGAAGTCCAGTTCGTTCATTAGGTTCCACGTATGAGTGAAATCATGTGGTATGTGTCTTTCTCTGCCTGGCTTATCTCACTTAGCACAAAGTTCTCCAGGCCCATCGATACTGTTGCAAAGGGTAAAGCTATCTTCTCTTCTTTACAGTAGAGTAATATTCCATTGTGTTAGTGTCCTGTAGTTGTTTTATCCACTCATCTACTGATGGACACTTGGGCTGCTCCCATATCTTAGAATTTGTAAATAATGCTGCAATGAACATAGGGGTGTCTGTGTTCTTTCAAATAAGTGTTTTGGATTCCTTTGGATATATTTCCAGAAGTGGGATCACAGATCCATTTTTAATTTTTTGAGATATCTCCATATTGCTTTTCACAGTGGCTGTACCAGTCTGCATTCCCACCAATAGTGCAAAAGGGTTCCCCTTTCTCCACATCCTCCCCATTACTTGTTTGTTGATTTATTGATCACAGCCATTCTGACAGGTGTGAAATGCTATCTCATTGAGATTTTAATTTGCATTCCTCTGATGATTAGTGACATTGAACATCTTTTCATATGTGTATTGGCTATCTAAACACTTGAATTTAATGGCAAGATTTGACCTCAGATATAAGCAATATAAAATATCATTTGTTGAAATATGGCAATTTTTAAAATTTCATTTAAATTTTTTAAATATGTACAAGTCACATGTCATAAGTACCATTTAACTCATAATGATAATTTTATTTTCATAAGCCCCTTTATTATGTGTGAAGATGACTGCTCCACGCTTTCTTATTTCATTTACTCATTAATTTCACTTACTCATGATAACAACAATGTTATTATTTCTGTTTTTACAGATGTACATAGAGATTAAGTAACTGGCTTTAAGGCACAATTTACTAAGGGGCAGAGCTGAAATCTGAACCTAAGTTTGTCTCTAAAATCCAAGCCCTGTGCTTTTCAACACCATGATGATAGGTCTTTCTTGTCCTCTCATGGTGCTCCTAGTGATCTTGCTGGTAAGAGGAAAAAGGCACTGCTGGAAAATATGCCCTGAGAGTTAAAAACCTCAGGCGAATTAGACAGAGAGTAGCTGCTGCCACCTTCACACTATATATCCCCTTCCTACTCCCCCGCCTCTGTCAGCCTTAGAGAGATTTCTCAATTGCCTGCTGAGGTTGTCCTGCTCTGGTAGTGACAATAACTTTAAAAATAGAAATATAATTTATGTAGTATTTTGATTTATAAATGCATTTATTATTTGGAAGTGTAAGGCTCATTTCTCCTTTCCTCCCTGGAGTTTTGTGTCTTAGCAAGCATACCACTCTGGATTCCAATAAATCTAAGTGGCTGGCAAGTTATAATCCTGGCTGGGAGACGGTGGGCCTGGAGAAATTTGGGAGCTGCTGTATAGACACATAATATAACAGGACCTGAAGCGGAACCCTAGAGATGAGAGGCCAGTGAATTTATAACTGTTTCTTCCTCACAAAGACTATTGGGTCAGTTCCCCAGGGCAGAGAGTAGTTGATGGTATTAGATAAAGAAATCAAGCCATTGCTTGCCTCAGCAGCACAAATACTCTGCTTGGAACAATGCAGAGAAGATGGACATGATCCCTGAAGAAAGATGACATACAAATGTACAAATCTATTCATTGAATATAAGAATATGGGGTACTTGTCTTTTCACCATTGTTCAAATTCCAAGGTTATATCCCTTCCGTATTAGAGTATCAAGCTAGGTTTCACTCTGCAATACAATTAAGTTAAGAATCTACAAGTAATGTATCAAACAGTTAATGAATATAGAGATAGAACTAGACCATGGCCACAGCTACCAAAACAGGAAATAAAGATAAGAAAACAATTTTTTTAAAAAAATGCTACACTTTCTTTGGTTGTCTCTTAAGAGTGATGGAGAGAAAATTATTAAAAATGGCAAAGCGAGGATATCAGGCAGCATGATGTTGACAGTAATGGAGTAACTGGCAAGAAATGCTGATTTGCACAGAAAGATCATTTAGTTGGAAATCTGCTCGAGTTCTGGTCTTAGATATTCAAATGCAGCTCACAGTGAAAGCACAGACATGTGGTAGCCATGCAGGTGGAGTAGTGACTGAAGCCAGGATGGTGAGTGAGCCGAGGGAAAGAGCTGAGGGAAAAGGCAAGCACCAAAGGCTGACCCTCAGTGCGGTGCAGTAAGCAAAGGAGGGAGGGGGACCCAGGTGGAAGGTTGTTGGAGCAGGGACAATGTCACCAAGCAGGTACGAAAAACAGATATAGGACCTGTCATTCAGAAGCTAGGATAGGATCTGGTAGCCAAGGGAACTAAGAATTTTAAGTAACTAAGAGGGTCAGATGCTAAAAAGAGGATTCAGAAGACCTCACCTTGGAATGGATGGCATTTTAGAAGGACTAGTTTTATGGGGTAAGTGAAGGCAGAAATCACAATAAAGGCCTTGAAAAACAGGCAGAAATAGTATCTCAATGTAGTAACCCAGGACATAGAAAATCTGACTGAGAAATTCAGAAAAGGGAAATAGACGGAGTTGGCAGTTCAAAGGGTTCAAGAAATGGAAACTCGGTGAAGTCTAGTGAAAATACATTCATGTTATGAATGGATTGATCATAGGTCATGTGCGTAAGTGTCTGAGGGGCCCTATGCCGACCTCTGCAGATTCTCCTGAGCTCTAAGCAATGAGAGGAACCAGAGTCAGCTGGCGAAAATCAAAATATAAAAATATTTATTTAAATATTTAAATAATTTATAATGTTTACTACTGATGAAACTTGATAATGGAGTGCATGGTTTTGGTGTGTGGCAACAGCAAACTCTCTAATCCTGATCCTCTCATAATAAACAGGTTTACTGTCGTCGCCCCTGGTCATAGCCAGCACTAGACAGCTGCAGGCCCCCAGTGGGAGACTCGCTCTTCCAAACCTTACACTATATTGGAGGAGCGGACCAGAACAGTGACCTACCTTTCTGGTCTTCTGACTCCTGGGGGTAGAAGAGAGAAGAAGGGACCAGGGTGCCCACCCCCAGTTTTCTCAAGTAGAGTCACCTTCACTTTCAAAAAGGAAGCAAAATCAAGGGGCAGGACAGGAGGCTGGGAGGTTTCATGACAGTCTCTCCTTCCAGAAACCAGAAAATGAGGGAAGAAACGCTGTCCAGTACCCTCCTCTCCACTACTCCCAACCCCTACCCCCCTAAAATATTATAGAATAGACATTTTTTAAAAAGAGGCTCAAACTTTTTGTTCAAAGCTTATAAATGTCAGTTAGGAAAATTTTAAGTTTTAGCCTTAACAAATAACATTTGAAATTTTACCAAGTTTAATTGGTGGGTTGGAGATCCTCAATTATTCAATTACAAAACCTTGGATAAATATACTTTGAAGCAATGATTTAATAGCTCTTCACCTCTTGTTCCAAACCAGGTCTTTCTCCTGTAACTTCTGCATCCTCTTCCGCAGCCAAGGACTTCCTTTTCTCTCACCCAACCAGCCACCAGTTCCAGTCACTTTTTTTTTTTTGGCTTTCAAAGTCCATAGGAAGCCTTTTTGACCTGGTCTGCCTCACTTTAAGTTATTTCCTATGCTTTCACACTCCAGAGGATTCAACCTGTTGTACTTTCTCAAAAATGGCATGTGATTTCATTTATTTGTTTCAGAATGTGCTGGGGTTTTTTCTATCTGGGAGGCTAGTCATTCCCTACCCCACCAGGTCCCTACCTGATCCGCTCCCCTCATCCCATTCAGGTCCTTATCCTGCATCTGGTAGAAATGTCAACTCAAAGCCCTGTACTGAACCCCTACGCATTGCTCCTTTCCAGAGGGTGCTCCTTTATTTCAGGCTACATCCAGGATCCACTTATTCAATAGGCACAGTAGACCCAGGACCTGGGGCCCACAATACTTTCAGGAGTTCATCATGTTGTTTAATTTAATTAAAAATCAGAAGGAAAAAATGAACTGTAAGTCAGAGAAAGTGTTTTAATATGTGATATTAATATATTGGCCTTTATAATAACAGTTGTAAATATTATTAAAATACAGGTATGTACATGTATAAATAAATGTAAACACACTCACACATATATATACCATATTTTTCTTAATGGAAGGAGTTCATGAAGGCAAAGTTGCTTAGGGCCCATGAACGTCACACTGTGGCCCTAGATGGTCTTAAATTTCTTGTTTTAAATCCTCAAAATAAAATCAATTTTGATCCATTTTTCAGTAAATGTTGAATTCTAAATGTGGGCTGAAAAGGTAGCATCAAAAAATGAGGAATAATTAATTCAAGCCAAATGTAATTGGTAATTATAATCTTTTCTTTTAAAGTTTAGAAACAGAAGAAGAACAACAATATCTCGCATCAAGTTATATTAACATCTCCACTGATTCATTACAAGGAGGCGAGAAGTACTTGGTCTGGGTCCAAGCTGCAAATGTACTTGGCACAGAGAAGTCAAAACAACTGCAAGTTCACCTGGATGATATAGGTAAAGAATGAGAAATTCTACCATGTCTTTACAAATAAACAACTGGTTTGTGCTGACCTGGTTAAGCAAAGTCTAGATCTGAAAGGACTTCCCTGAAAGTTCCTGTAGATCATGGCAAAGAAAACAAGAATTAACAGTACCTATAATTTCTATGTGGGCATATGTGTTTTAAAAAAGATTTATTGATAACTTTCTATGTTCAAGCATTGTTCTAAGGGCTAGAATGATGGACTAGCCCTTAGAGGAAATATGGACAAGGTGTCTGCTGCCCTAAGTATCTTACCGTCTACCAGAGAAGATGGAAAGAAATAAGAATTAGAATAAAGTGTTACAAGTCTTATGCTGTGAGAAGCACAGTATTATAAAAAAGTCTTCTGTGTGCACTATTGTGAAAGTTATATTTTTATTTTTATTTTGAAAAGTTTTACAAATTACACAGAAAATTATGGAGAATTATGTTGACATCTCTGTTTATCAGCCAAGTTTAATAAATGGTAAAATTTTTTGCTTCAGCTATCTTTAGACTTTGCCTTTTAAACTTACAACATAGAATAAATATTTCTTACTTTAATCTACAGTAGTATTTTTAATAAATGTCTTCAACAGTCACTTATTGTTGGAGATTTAGACTGTTTTCTAATTTTTACCATTATAAACTATTACCATAAACAACCTGTTGGCTGAAGTTTTGCTTATAGTTGGCTTTCTCTTTAAGATAATTCCAGAAAGTAACTGGGTCTTTCATCACTACCTCCCAGCCCTAAAGCCAGAGTTCAGCCAAGAGTACCAGGTACGAATCGCCCACTATGTGGACATCCCAGTGCCAATTGTTCCTGTTTTTATCACACTAGTCTACCCTTATCTGTGGTTTCGCTTTATGTAATTTCAGTTATGCTTGGTCAACAGTGGCCCAAAAATCTTATGTGAAAATTTTCAGAAATCCACAATTAATGGGTTTTAAATAGTGTGTCATTCTGAGTAGTGTGATGAAGTCCTGAGCCATCCTCTTACATTCTGCCAGGTTGTGAATCATCCTCTTGCCCACCACTATGAATCTGCCACCCGCCCGTTAGTCATTTAGTAGCCACCTTGGCTGCTGTCACAGTGTCTGTGTTTGTGTTCAAGTATCCCTCAATTTACTTAATAATGTCCACAAAGCGCAAGAGTAATGATGCTTGCAATCCAGATGTGTCAAGGAGAAGCTGTAAAGTGCTTTTTACTCCTTATAGTAAAAAGGTGAGTATAGAACAAAAAGATAGTATGAGAGAGAGAAAGCACACATTCACATAATTTTTATTATAGTGTACTATTATTGTTATACTTTAGTTATTAGTTATTGTTATCAACCTCTTCTTGTGCTGAATTATCAATTAAACTTCATCACAAGTGTGTATGTACAGGAAAACACATAGTATAATTGGGTTCGGTACTATCCCTGGTTTCAGGCATCCACTGGGGGTCTCAGCAACTATCTCCACTGGGGGTCTCAGAAACTATCTGTTGCAGATAAAGGGGGATTGTATGAAGGATAATTTCACCAAGCTGACATTCATGCAGTACTTTCTTCAGTGCTAATTGCTATTATATACATTATCTTATGTAACCCTCCCAACAGCCTTATTTTGTAGAAGAGATTATATACATGTATACATGAGCAAACTGAGGTTAAGTTGCATTCAGAAATTTGAGATTACAGAGCTAGGGAACTTCTAATTACAACATCCTCAACTCCTATCCTCAGTTTTATTTAAATGCACATTGCAATGTGTCTGACAACTTTCCTGCTGTCTAATGATTTAGGGGATATGATGCCTTCTTTGGGGATACAACACAGGTATTTTGGAGAGATCACCAGCGTCTCTGATTTGAACTAATATCTCAACTTCTGTCTTGACTAAACTTGACTATCTCAACTAACAGGATTGGTCTAAAAGTCTATCATGATGCTCTGAATATTGGCTTTGAAAAACACACTGTTGACTATGGCAATGAAAAATAATTCCATTGCAGAGTATATTCTTGAAATTACATTTCCCTTGCTCATGATGTACACATTTTTGTAAATTTACATTTTGAGGTAGGATGAGATAATATGCTCTTTTCTTGTAACAGATTAACCTTGATGGATTACTGATGATTAAAGGCTATCATGGCTACTATATTTTTGACAATATAATTTTTAGCAACTGAATTATTAGTAGTAGTACTATTATCATCACTGTGATGTTATTATGATCTTAATATCATTGAATTGTGTTCCAGACAACAAGCATATCACATTAAATTCTGGAAACGATCACACATGGTATGTATCTATTTTATAGAAGAAGAAAGAAATGAAATAATTTGCTCAAGGTCACATAGCTAGTAAGGACAGCAAGATTTCATCCCAGACTAGTTGACTTGCCTTAGTCAATTACCATCCCACTTCCCATAAAAGGAAAATCTTATCTGGCTGCCACCTGCAAATCTGACTTCTCACACTGTGAACAAGGGAGCCTCTTGTTCGGAGCTGTTATTTCTTCTCCTCTTCCTTTTTCTTGTCTTTCTCTTTCTCCTGTTCTCTCTCTTCCTCCTTTCTCATTATCAAAAAAAATGAAATGGTATAGGGGGCTCTACCCAACAAAGCCACCAGAATATTAACAGATGAGCTATTTTCACTTGTGACCCTTTAAGAATGAAATATTTCAAGCTAGATAAATGAACCGTTTTATGGAACTGAGGACAGTGGACTCTCCTGGGAGCAATTTCTACCTAACAGCTATGGGACTGGGCTTTAATTAAGTTACAGAGGCTGTGCTGAAAGGCAGAGCTGAGTTAATAATGCAGTAACATTGTGCCAAAATGACATGTGAGCGGAATGATTAAACTTCTCTTGTAGAGAAATTTATTTGAACACATGTAGTGCAGTGTCTTCTGGCTGCCATTTTGAGTATTAATCCCCCCAGTGAGTAATTATGGGTAAATACATGTCTTTGGAAAGATACCAAGAACTATAATCTGGTTCTTTATTTAATATAAGTGGAAACTTCAAATGTGGTTTCTATGATGACCTGACAATTTGAGGGGAAGAATCCTTGTTTTTTAAAAATAAATATATCATGGCAGGCAAAACTGAGTAATACATTGTTTGTAGATAAACATATCTGAGGTAAAAATGAAAAGAATAGAATTATTACCATAAAATTAAGGATAGATGTTACTTCTGGTGGGAAAGGGAAAAGAGGTTTGGGAATAGTTGTTCAACCACCAATCAGTGTCTTTCATAAGATCTAATTTAGTTTATTTTCCAAATAGATGGTCAGTTATTTTATGTTTGTCATTTACTTCTTATTATAAATATTTTCTTTTATGGTTTTATCATATACTTTTATCATATGCTAAATTCTCTTTTACATTTGGGTCTGGATTTGACAGTTCTTTTCAAAATGTAAAATCTTTGCCCTGGCAGGTGTGACTCTGTGGATTGAGCACCAGCCTGTGAACCAAAGAGTTGCTGGTTCGATTCCCAGTCAGGGCACATGCCTGGATTGAGGACTACGTCCCCAGTAGGGGGCATGCAAGAGGCAACCACATACTGATGTTTCCCTCTTTCCCTCCTTTCCCTCTGTCTAAAAAAATAAATAAATAAAATCTTTAAAAATATAAAAATGTAAAATCTTACAGGAATGTTTGAAACCTAAGCAACAACAGTAAAAATTTAACATTTGAGTCTTCTGTAACAAACAATATGTTCAAGTACATATTATATAATGTATTTATTTGAAAAAATATAAACTCATCCAAGCTGCATTGAAGTTAGACCTCTATTTCATTGACATGCCTTGTGCTGAGCCTCTATCTTAAATGTGACTTACTGTGACCTGCGTGTCTCATAGGACTAAAGAGAATTGTGGTTCTTTCCCAGAATATTTCTTTCTGCAAAAGAATGCTTGTGCTGCTATACCAGTGGCGGGCCAAACTTAGAGGTGGGAGACAGGAGAGGTGAATCACTTACAGCACTGAGGGTGCTTGAGTGGTCCCAACTGGTCCCAGACCCCCCAAAGAGGTCCACTTCCCTGCACAATGTTAGCTTGCTCAGAACCCCCAGATGGGGTCCACTCCCCTCTAGAAATCTCCAAATACTGATTCTTCTTACAAAAAGCTTCTAACAGTTAAAGGAAATCAACTGTGCTATTCAGATGATAAAATTTCAGTAGAGTAGCTCTTTAATTAGACTAATTATGCTACTACTATTTCTGTCCCATGCTCAAGGATTTTATTCTAAGACTGTGCTACTAGAGAGCAAGTTTTTAATTTTTGTATTTCTCTATAAATTATATGCTTGTGCACACAATTTTAGATGATAGTTAATAATAAAACAAAATTTTCCGAAAGAGTACTTTATAAATTTAGAATAAATTAAAAGAAATTTCACAGAGGACATTAAACTCTAAGAATGGTCCTTAAAAACACACATAGAGACTCCTGAGTTCTTTGTTAAATAATACATCTAGCAGAGTCATACGCTTTTATTGTTCTAAGTACTCATATAGGAGAAATGGAAAATGCCAATGATTCTATTCTGTTCAGACAGAACACACTTGTAAATATTTATACATTTAAAATATATAGATATTTCAGTTATACCAGTACTCCTAATAAACAAAAGTACTAGTAAGATAACCAATCAGAATTTTAGTTCCATTTTGAAAGTTATTATCAGAGAACAAAGCAACAGTTGGTCAAGTCTTAAAGAGTATTGTGAGACTTGCTTTGTTAAATCTACTTTCAAGTACAGGTTTATTTTAATGAAGAATAAAATAAGTTAGCAATAAATGTAAAGGTTCATACAAATTTCCATATAACACTGTAGAATAAAAATAATATTACTGAAAAAGGTTTAAATTTAACAGTTTATCAAATCAATCTTTGAACAAAATTTAAGATAAAAATATCTCTTCCTAAACAGATGCAAAAAAAAAAATGAAGAATGGGCTGAATAAAATTTTATTTAACACCCAATATTTTATTTAAAAATTTTTTTAAAGAAATGAAGAATGGGTTGAATAAAATTTTACTTAACACTCAAAATTTTCTCCTACATAAAAGATTAGAAAACCAGAAAAAAAAATTAATCATTAATTAGAGTACAAAATTTTTTTAAATTTTTTTCAGATTTTATTTATTTATCTTTAGAGGGGAAGGGAAGGAGAGAGGGAGAGAAATATCAATGTATGGTTGCCTCTCATGTGACCCCTGCCGGGAACTGGCCTGCAACCCAGGCATGTAGGTTGACTGGGAATCGAACTGCAATCCTTTGGTTTGTAGGCCTGCTCTCAATCCACTGAGCTACACCAGCCAGGGCTAAATTTTTTTTTTATACTTTGATTTTAACATGTCTATAGATTGATGAAACATTACACACATTTTTCCCTAGGCAAGTTTTAAGTTGCTGGGTTTTTTTCCTAGTGATACCTTCTGCAACCACCATTTTCAGAGCAGAGGATGTAAATACTCCAGTGCCCAAGACCATAATTCACTGGAATAGTCAATCAACAATTGAAAAGGTTTCCTGTGAAATGAGACACAAGGCCACAACAAACCAAACTTGGAAGGTGAGCTAACTTCCACTATTCTTTAACATGTAAGTGAATTGAAAAAATAGCCAACCAACAGTCAACCATGGTGAACTTACAATGACCTATTGATGATTTACATGTTTTTATCTGATTCTTTGTGGGATATTCAAACCACTCTAATTTTAATAATGATTATACTGTGCTTCCACAGAGATGTTTTCTGAGCAGAAATGGTCCTCTTGCCTTTTGTATATTTCTAAACAGACAAATGTCCAGCTAAGAGATTTTATCTACTTAGTTCCTTGTACTTCAGTGTCCAAGGGTAAAATTTATATCAGTGATCATGAATATAAAGTGTAAGGATTCTATGCTGAAATTTAGCAGGCATCCAGAAGAAGAAAAACTGTTCAAAAGGAACTTCAAATTTATAGATGTCTTTTTTTACATGAAAAAACGTGTAATTCAAAATGTAAGATTTGTAACTAGTACAGGCCTCAGGCTTAGATATGCATAAGGTTAAAAAGTGAATTTCTAGACAAAATAATCATCCTTAGATACCAATGGCAAGTCACTGCCTTCGGAGTAGCATGGGTATAAGGCTCATTAATAAAAGCGCCTGTGAACATTAATAAAAACTCACTAATTTAAACTATAGAGTAACACTAGTCTGAGAAAAAAGTTCAAATTTTGGGTATTTGAAAAGAAATGCAATTTAATTTTTTTAACTACAATAAACTACCATTTAGTCAAAGTAATTAAGAAATAGAGTTGTCTGGCTTTGCTTAATTGAGAATTATTTATCATGTATGATGGATACATGGATAAAGAAGATGTGGCATATATACAATAAAATATCAATATTAATTTAGCAATTAAAAAAATGAAATCTTGCCATTTGTGACTACATGGACTGACCTAGAGGGTATTATGCTGAGTGAAATAAGTCAGACAGAGAAAAACAAATAATATGATTTCACATATATGCAGACTCTAAAAAATACAAAACAAATAAAGACAGAAAACAAAACAGAAACAGACCCATGGATATAGAGAACAAGCTGAAGACTGGCAAAGAAGAAGAAGGTGGGGATGGAAAAGAAGAAAGAATGAAAGAGAGAGAGAGACAGAGTGGGGAGGGGAAGAGAAGGGAGGGAGGGAGGAAAGGAGGAAGGAAAAAAGTTAGAAAGTTCTGGGTGAAGATGGTGGCTTAAACACTCATCCAAATAAAATAAAATAATCCCCTCTTTCAAAATAAGTTAGGTATGGATTGACCTGTTTTCAAGGGTGAAAATGATATGTATTTAACACTAACCTTTGGTGATTAGCGTGACTCCAAAGCCTTCTTCTGCCTCAGCCCGATCATCCAGAGCATCGGTTTTGCTGTAGGAGAGTGCGAAGCAGATGAGGGTTGGACTATACTGACTTCCTGACATCCTTTAAAGATTGCTCTTTAAAAATAAATTACTGATCTCAAGTTGTTTATTTACCTTTGTTCATTGACACCAGAAATGTGAACTCCAGAGCTGTTTAGATGACACTTAGGTACAAATCCATGTGCTGCATCATGTGGCCAATAACCACGTGGCGATCCTGCTGGACACCTTGACCAAATAATTACAGCCTTTGTGTTGTACACAGCAACCCCAGGCTTCAACCTGGGACAAGTGAGGTAAACAAAAATCCACAGCCAGTCTTTTGCCTCTGTGGAATTTAGAGAAATTTTAAAACAACCTAAATGAAATTCTCGAATCTTGAATTTTGAATTAACAGAGTCTTGCTCCATAGGACACTTGGGACCCTTGTGTAGTGTCACAGTAGTAAGACAACGCTGAGAATATGAAAACTCCCTTATTTGGCATAGTAGGAGGAGGCAGTAGGCTGCTGTGAATGTTTAGGAAATATAAAGGAATGATATCATCAGTATCTCCGAACAGGTTTTCAGAAACCAACTGTTTTCTGGTGGAAACTCTCATTCTCTGCTCCCCCTGGTGGAGCTACGAGTGCCATTCATTGAGAGACTGGGTAACCGGTGAATTTGTGCTCACTCCTCAAAACCTTCTCTTCAACCAGGAGCAGGCAAATGAAGGAGCTGAAAGGCGACTTATTATCCCATTTAACCTTCATGACCATTTTCTGTGATGGGCCCTAGCAGCTCCACCCAGAACGGGCTCAACGGAGTTTAAGCTGGGTTCTCCAAACTTTACACTGTTAGGAACTAAGTGCCTCTCACAAAACTTACATCACTTTGGATACCCCAAAAATATTTGGAAAATTAAAAAAACAGATTTGATCCCAAACCCATATCCTATCCCTTCTACTATGATTTTTCCAAATGTAACTACTCACACAGGAAAAGGTGAATTATTATGACTCCAGCTCAGTCAGTAATAACCAAAAGGAAGTTTTGTGCTTTGCATTTACTACCCCATCAATTTTGTCTGGGTCATGCATAAACTGTTGTCCTTGCCCCCGTGTAGAAAGACAGGAAGTTAGAGTCCAGAACAGTGGCAGGACACAAAGGACTACAGATTTGCTCTTCAACCTTGGCTTTGCCTCCAGCAGATATTGCTGGAGGAAGGTTCTTTATTTCAAATGGCAGGCAGCTACCAGGAAAGCCTGGTGGCTAAGCACACGGCTCTAGATTTTAAAGCCTGGTTCTGCCTCTCTAGTTGTACAAGCTTGGGCAAGTTCTTTATCTCCTCTGTGCTTCATTATTCCCATAGCTAAAATAGAAATAAGATAAGCACCTACCTCTAGGGTCATGGGGATGATCAAGTGCTGTATGAAGATAGCCCAGAGCCTGCAATAGAGTTAATTCAGTACATGTGGGCAGCTACTGTTACTCTTCATCTTAATCTCCAGGGGAGCCATGTAGCCACCTTTGTAGGGCAAAGGAAGTACCTGAAAATCAAAATCAATGCATTGAGAATGCTTTTCAGCCCCTTTCAGCTAAGCTACATGTAGACTGTGAGGTATCAGCCAGCCCTTCAGGCAATCCTCACAGGCTGATACCATGGGGAAAACACTGACCTACTTGATTATCTTAATGGGCTGTCTCCCTGGCATAACAAACGTGTGTCAAAAATTGAGCTCACAGTTCTCAGCAGCAATCCTTGCTCACTGCTATGAATCCTCTCTCAGGACCATTTGCCACGTCATATACACTTACCTTTAACTGTGAGCCTCTGGAAGGCAGGGCTGTTCCATAATCATTTTTGTACCTACATTGATTCTTGTAATGTCTAGTTCACATAATTTTGAAACATTAGCTATTAGTAGTAGTATTATTTGCCTTTAAGAGTTCCAACAGAGGCAGTAATTTAGGGAAATCTTCCCTGTAAGTTTGAGTAAATGCATTATTGGTGACTCATTTCTCTAATTATACAAGACCAGGGCATTGGCAAACTTTTTAATTCAGGGGCCAAACAATAAACAGTTTGGCTTTGCAGGCTGTGAGATCTCCGCCTCAACTACTGAACTTTGACGTGCAGCATGGAAACAGCTAAGGGCAGTAAGTGAGTAGACATTGTTGCATTCCAATAAAATTTTGGTTTTGGACACTAAAATTTGACTTTCATATAATTTTTATGTATCAAAAAATAGGCTTCTTTTGATTTTTTCTTCCAACCATGTAAAAGCTGTAAAAACCATTCTTAGCTTATACGTTACACAAAACCAAGCGTTCATTCCCTTCCTGGACAAGCAAATAAAATAGTGCCCAGATAGCAGAGGGTCAAATCCTTGGCCTTCGAATTTCAAAAGTGTAAATGCTGTTAAAAAGACAGAAGACTTGGAAGAACATGTGAGTAGTCATGACTAAGTTCTCCAATAATCATGCCGCTCCCCTCCTCCACCAAACACTAGATAAACAGTACCTGAGCCTAAGAGTGCAAATTGGCCAGGGCCAGGGGTAAGAGGGAGGAACCCAAAGAGTTAAGACACTGGGGAGTACCTGAGAAGGAGCTGCTCTCTCTGGGCCACATGCAACTTTGGTGAGGGAGGAAGTCAGGATCACAGAACACCGAACAGGTTTAAGATTCTCCTTCCCTCCACCCAAGGATGCTCTCAGAAACTTAAATGTAACCCTAAGTAAAGAGGTACCTCACAATGATGGAGATTTAGTTTCTCACCTTCAGAACTGAGGGCCTAACTAGAAATTAAGTGCTATAAAAAAACCAAAGTTTTGTTTCTTGCTCTTGAGATCATATCCTTCCCACAGGCACTCAGGTAGGTCTAGCTCTCAATGTTCATTTGGGGCTCTGAAAATGTCATCTAGGGGTGTCATCTTGTGGTTACAAGGCCCTAAGCAGTAACCTGGTTTGCCTCATGATAGAAAAAACTGTTAACAGTTCTGAAAAATTCTCCTTTGTAGTTTAGAATTCTGGTTGTACTTCAGGGCACTTCTTTAAGAGGACTTATGGTATCTATAAACGTAATGGCAAGAAACATATTGGAGAATAATAATTCCCTTTAAGAGCAACTAATATGAAGCAGAATGCATTTGAAAGTCAAACTTCCGGCACAAGTAAAATCTCTCCTGGATTCCAGGCATCTCCGGGGGTGGCCAGTCATATTTATGTAGCAGAAAATTCCAAGGACAGTGGGTAGAGATGTATGTGGCTTATGGAAACTCTGAATGGTGTCTTTCAGGGAACATGACATTCCCAATACAGATACTTTCCTGAGTTTTACATTTTCAATGTATTGCAAGTTTTCAAGATTTATGTTAAGATTGTTCTTTTTTAAAGATGGGTTTTTAACAAGAATCCCTGAATATGATTGATATCTTGCTTTAAAAAAAATTCTCGTTAGTTTTAACTATCTCTTCCATGAGTGTGTAGTACCTGTTTTCTGCCAGTTGCTGCATAAATGCATTTCTAGATGTATTTTATGTGTGCCTTTCAATCATGCTTCACTTTCTTCAGTAAATCCACTTACCACAACATACTGGAAGTGCTGTATAAATGCCTGGTTTCTCTCTCCTCTCTGAAACAGCATGGGGTCATTTTTTATTATGTTTTATAACAGGTTGCAATGCCCCCAGGAAATGATTTGTAAGTTTATACCTCAGCTATTCCACTGGATTTTTACAGTTCAACTTTCTCAAATGTTTTATTTTATTTTCTCTCTTACACATACATATACATAATAGCTTTTTTAGAATTTGCATAAATCTGCAATAAGGACCAATTTAACAACTCAGCTTATGAGTAACTTTTTCTAAAAGTCATCATTAGCAAGTGAAATTATTTCATTATTCATGAACAATTATTGATCTATATATCCCACTGCAGAGAGAACAGAGAGAAAGCAGAGGTGAGAGACTGAAATAAAAATATTTGCTATTAGGTCCTCTGTTTCTTCTAACCCATTATAATCAGCTATTCCAAAATTAAGTATATACTGTATTTAGACTTTCTTGAAATTTAATATCTTAAGCCATGGCTGGTGTGGTTCAGTGGTTTGAGCACTGGCCTGTGAACCAGAAGGTCACCAGTTCCATTCCCAGTCAGGGCACATGCCTGGGTAGCAGGACCAGGTCCCCAGTTGGAGGCATGTAAGGGGCAACCCATCACTCATTGATGTTTCTCTCCCTCTCCTTCTCCCTTCCTTATCCTCTCTCTGAAAATAAATAAATAAAATTTTAAAAAATCAAATAAAATCTTGAGCGAGTTGTCTAATACAATGTGTACTCCATTTTTAATGTTAAATAACATGTATTTAGTTACTTATAGCTGTTTCATATAAAATAACCTATTCCTTTTTGTTTTCCCAGGCTCTAGAAAAGTGCCTGAAACATATTAGGTGCTCCATGCATTTTTGCTACATGAAATAATTGTTTTGAAAACACATTGTATCATTTCATTATTATTATTATTCATTCATTTTAGGTTAAGGAATTTGACACCAATTTCGCACATGCGCAACAGTCAACATTCTATCTGGAGCCAAACACTAAATACGTATTTCAAGTGAGGTGTCGAGAAGCAGGTAAAAGATACTGGCAGTCCTGGAGTTCACCCTTTTTTCATAAAACACCTGAAAGAGGTGAGTGTGTTTATATATTTAATCTCTTAGGCTTTTCTTTGACTTCTGTCTTTCTTTTAAATATATATATTTTTTCTTTTTGATTTCTATCAAAATTGACAACAGTATTCTAGGGCAGGTGGTAACACTTAAATTGTCATACTGCTTTGATTTTGTTAGGCTGACTATAATTTATGTAACGGTTCTCAAACATTCCTGGGCATAAAAACCAATAAAAACCACCTGGGCTCTTGCTGGTGTGGTTCAGTGGACTGAGTACTGACCTGAAAAACAAAGGGTCACAGGTTCAATTCCCAGTCAGGGCACATGCCTGGGTTGTGGGCTAGGTCCCCAGTAGGGGGGCTCATGAGAGTCAACCACACATTAATATGTCTCTCCTTCCCTTTCTCCCTCCCTTCCTCTCTCTCTAAGAATAAGTAAGTATGGTCTTTTAAAAAAACCACCTAGTATGCATGTTCATCTTCTCTCCTTCACAGGTCTCAGGTAGTGGGAGTGGGGGGTTGCTCAAGCATTAGCATTTCTTACAAACATCCTGGGTGATTGTAGTCATATAATAACCTAAGACCTTGCTTTGAAAAACAAAACAAAACAGCATTGAGAGTTACATTCAACTGTTTAGGTCACTCTGTTAAATATATTCTCCTAAAAGAGATACAAATAAAATCATATCAATAAATACTTATTATCTACTATACAAAACAATTAGAAAGAGTTAAAGCACTTAAATATGAGATTATTAATTTTTTTCTCAATAAAATCTGGATGAGCTGTTGTTTACCTTAAAATATTCCTCTGCTTTTAGCATTATTAGTTTAATATTCCAGTTATTTACACATCCAATTCAATGAAATCTTAGCTAAATAGACTTATTTTCCATGCACACAATTGCTTTTATTTTTTAATTATAGTTTATTGATTATGCTAATACAGTTGTCCTGATTTTTCCCTCTTTTCCCTCTCCACCCAGTGCCCCCAACTCCCTCAGGTAATCCCCCCACCATTGTTCATGTCCATGGGTCATGCCTGTAAATTCTTTGGCCACTCCATTTCCTGTGCTGTACCTTACATCCCCATGGCTATTCTGTGACTGCCTAGTCACAGAACACCTATTTGTACTTCTTAATCCCCTCACCTCCACCCATTCACCCAAACTGGCCCCCCCATTGGGCATCCATCGAAACACTCTCCATCTCCATGATTCTGTCTCTGTTCTTGTTTGCTGGGTTTGATTTTTATATTTAATTGTTCCTAAATATGTATTTTTGCTATTTTACTGTTCAGTTTTGATCTTTTTCTTAAATAATTTTTTTGAACTCTGCATCTGATAGATTGCTTATCTACATTTCATTGAGCTCTTTTTCTGGAGTTTTGATCTGTTCTTTCATTTGGGCCATGATTCTTTGTCTCCTTGTTTTGGCAGCCTCCTCGTGTTTATTTATGTGTATGAGGTAGAACTGCTTTGACTCCGTGTCTTAGTAGTGTGGCCTAATGTAGTAGGTGTCCTGTAGGGTCCAGTGGCATAGCCTCTCCTGTCACACAAGCTGGGTACTCGAGGTGCACCCTTAGTGTGGACTGAGTACCCTCTCATCTTGTAGTTGAACCTTGATTGCTTTTGGCAGGTCAATGGGAGGGATTTACCCAGGCCAGTCAGCTGCAAGGACTGGCTGTGACCAATGACCACCTTTGCTCGCCCTCCATGGGGGATCATCTGTGCAGGAGCAGGATAGTGGTGCTCCAATGTGGTCCGTAGCTGTCCACTGGGTGTGCAGGCTCTGAGATTTCCTGGGTGGTGCAGGGCAAGGCTGGCCCCAACCTGTGTTTTGCCTGTCACCACCCTGCCTAAGCTGTAAAGCAATCTGAGATGGCTGCTACTTGTGCTGGGCTTGAAGATTCCCTGATGAGGCCAATCTGCAAATCTAGACTAGCTGCTGCTAGTGCTGGGACTGGAGCTCACTGAGGCCAGCTGTTGCTTGTTTGAGAGGACTTAGGAAGTTGTGAATCAGGAGCCAAGGTCAGCCATTCATATGGTAAAGCAGGTTGCATGGGCCCATAAGTTGGGTGGGACAGAGTCTCATTGGGTCTCCAGTGCAGGGAAAACACTGTTAGCCAGGTTGATGGAGTCTCAGATCTGGCACCAGCTTGCCAGCTCTGTGGTGGGAGGGTTCAGCAAAAGGAGAATGGCCTCTGCTCGCCTTGATGCCAGGTACTTCAATGCCGCCCCATATGCCACCGGTACCTTTCAAGCTGCTATTCTAATACTGGAGCTCAGAGGGAGTGAGTCTGAGTAGGTGAGCCTGTGTGTGGGTTCTTTAAGAGGAACTGATTGGATCTCCAGAAGTTTCTTCCACCAGCTCAATCCCTGCTGGTTCTTTGCAGCCAGAAGTTGAGGGAACTTACCTTCCTGGCACTGGAACCCTGGGCTGTGGGGCCTGGTGTTGGGATAGGACTCCACTCCCGAGATATCCCTTCTCAATGTTTATCTACTGCACATGGATGTGACATCAGCCCATTCCACATCTCCACCCTCCTACTAGTCTGGATGGATGTGGTTTCTTTAATTCCATAGTTGTCAGATTTCCACTGAACTCAATTTCTGATAGTTCTGAGTGAGGCTGTTCTACATTTTGTAATTTTGATGTAGTTGTTGGAGGATGCAAGCCATGTCTGCTGACAGTGCCATCTTGACAGGAAGTCCTCACACAACTCATCAAATAGACTTTAGTGGGAAGCAAACAATAAAATAAATTACTGTAATTGTTGTAATATTCCATGATGGCTTCATTTTCCTGAAGATGTCTTCCTACTGTAGGTAGCTTGTACACTAGATTTATTTGTTCTTTTCAAAACTGAAGAACTTAATTATAATCACACTATTGTTAATATTATCTGTATTATAACATCTTGTAATTGTTTTTGATGTTTTTCAAAGCACTTTAACGTAAATTATAAATATTGGTGATTGTCAGCATCTAGAGAAAGCTAAGAACCAAAGAGTGGCTTAAAAGTTCTTTTGGCACCCCCTAAAGCCCAAATATAAGAAACACACTATTATTTTGTTTAATTATTTTTTTATTTTTCAATTACAGTTGATATACATTAATTATATTAGTTTCAGGTATATACCCAGCGATTAAACATGAAATAACTTACTAAGTGATCATCCTGATAAATCTCTCACCCACATGATACCATGTATAATTATTAGAATATTATTAATTATATTCCCAAGACTACACTTTATATTCCCATGACTATTCTGTAATAACAAATTTGTATTTCTTAATTCCTTTACTTTTTCACCAATCCCCTTAAGCCTCCTCCCATTTGGCAACCATCAAAATGTACTTTCTATGTATGATTCTGTGTCTGTTTTGCCTGTTCATTTATTTGTTTTTTGAGATTCAATTGCTGATAAATATGTACTTACTGCCATTTAGTTGTTCATAATTTTGATCTTTTCCCCCCTTTTTATTCTGAAAGAAGACCCCTTAACATTTCATATAATACTGGTTTGTGGTGCCCTTTAGCTTTTTCTTGTCTGGGAAGCTCTTTATCTGTCCTTCAATTTGAAATATACTTTTGTGGGGTAAAGTAATCTTGGTTATAGGTCCTTGCTTTTCATTATTTCAATATTTCTTGCCAATCCCTTCTGGCTTGAGAAGTTTCTGTGGAGAAATCAGCTGACAGTCTTATGGGAACTCCCTGTAGGTAACTAACTGCTTTTCTCTTGCTGCATTTAAGATTCTCTCTTTGTTTTTAAACTTATTCACTTTTATTATTATGTGTCTTGGTGTAGGTCTCTTTGCAGTCATCTTGTCTGAGACTCCCTACACTTCCTGGACTTGCATGCCTGTTTTCTTTACCAAGCTGGGGAAGTTTTCTGTCATTTTTTAAAATAGGCTTTCAATTTCTTGTTCTCACTCTTCCTCTGACAACCCCATTATGCAAATGTTGGTACACTTGAAGTTGTCCCAGAGGCTCCTTACACTATGTTCATTTTTTAAAATTCTTTTCTCTTTTGATTGGGTGTTTTTTGCTTCCTTATATTCCAAATCACTGATTTAATTCTTAACTTCACCTGTTCTACTGTTAATTTCCTGTAAATTATTCTTCATTTCTATCCTTCCCTTATGATTGGTCATTTTTTTTATGCTGTTAAGGTTCTCACTGATCTCACTGAGCATCCTTATAACCAGTGTTTTGAACCTGCATCTAGGAGACATCTAGTCTTCTTTTTATTTAGTTATTTTTTTTTGGAGTTTTGATCTGTTCTTTCATTTGGGAAGTTTCTTTTTCTTGTCATTTTGCCATCCTCCCCATCTTTGTTTCTATGTATTAGGTAGAGCTGCTTTGACTCTGAGTCTTGGCAGTGTGGCCTAATGTAGTAGGTGTCATATAGGGTCCAATTGATCTGCTTCCCTTATCAGTCAAGCATGGCACCTCAAGCTGTGCCTCCCATGTGGGCTGAGTACAGCTCTCCTCTTATAGTTGAGCCTTGATTGCTGTTGGCATGTCATTAGAAGGAATTTACCCAGGTTAATTACCTGCAAGGACTGGCTGTGACCACCTTATAGAGGGTAATCTGCTCAGGGGCCCATGTTGCTTGTGGAGTTGGCTGGGTGGTTCCTTGATGTAGTCTATTGGGTGTGCTAGCTCTGGGGGCCTCCCAGGAGGAGCAGGTGAAAGTCAGCTGCTGCCTGTGTTCTGCCCAGAGCCACCCAGCATCAGCTACAAAGTGATCTGCAGATGGCTATTTGTGCTTGGCTTAGAGGTGCCCAGGCCAGGTCAAGCTGTGAACCATAACTGACTGCTGCTAGTGCTGGGTCTGGGGCCACTGAGCAAGGGGTTTGGGGCATGCTAAGGGCATGTTTGTTTGACACATTTTTGGAAAATCTGAAGCATGAGCTTAGACCATTTGTATGAAAAAGCCACTGGAAACAGCTTGAGTGGTTCTGCAAGTTGGGTGGGGCTAGGCCTCAGGAAATTAACAGGGCAGGGAA